GCCATCGTACTTGGCTGCTTAACATTGCCACCTTGACTGTGAAGTTGGGAGCCCGGATAGTGCTCTTGTCCTTTAGGGCTCCAACGTGAGGCGGGCCTTGCACAACCTCCCCCCATCCACCTGTTAGCCACCTGGCCAAGTTGGCAACTCTGGGCTCCCTGGTCTGTAAATGAGCGTTTCTGCCCCCAGGGCTGTTGCGAGGCTGAAATGGGATAATTTACTTGTTTTGGGAGAGTTTCAGCAGTTGCAAGCAACAATAATTTTGTCTGATCGAAGCTAAAACTGTTGTTGCCAAAATCGGGAGCAGCTCGCAGGGCTGGTGAGCCGGCCCCGAAGCTCTGCAGCCTGGGCAATGCCACCCCCGCCCAGCGGCCGCCAGTGTGAGCTACTGCGTGGCTGGTACAGGACACCGCGGCCATCAGGCTCCCACTGCTCCCAAACCCCAAACCCTAAACTGCTGCGAAAGGAATTCTGGCCCCGCCGGTTAGCGCCCCGCCTCCTTCAGAGTCCAGGCCTCTGATTGGCTGAGCCCGGGTCACATGGCGCTCGCTAGCTGCAGGGGATGCTGGGAGACGGGCACCTGGCGTGGTAAAGCCGCGTGGGGAGGTCTGGGCTGTGTGTGCCGCCCGGGCTGTGAGGAGGGAGCTCCCCGAGGGGAGAAGGGGGCTCCTGATGCTGGGCAGCCACCAAATACACTGTAACGGGGGGTCAGTGTTGATGTCCAGCCACGGGCAGCACGCGGCTCCTTGGTGAGTCGCCGGGGCGGCTGCTATGGTGGCCCCAGGAGGGGAGGGGATGGTGGCCCGGATCGGCTTGAGCGGTCTAAGTGGTGACAAGTATTTTGGAGATAAGGCCGTGTGGCGGTCCGCTGGGGCCGCCAAAACAAAGTACCCCAGGCAGCCTCTCAGGGAGGGGGCGGAAACTGAGGTTTACCCAGCAGGGGGTTATTCTGTGACAGCCCTGCGGGCGAGAGGCCTGAGATCAAGGTGCTGGCCGAGTCCCGTTCCTTCCAGGGCCTGTGAGGGAAGGATCTGCTCTAGGGCTGGCTTCTGGGCTTGCAGGTGGCTGTCTTCAGCGTGTGCCTATCCTTCTCCCTCCACGCTTGTCTCTGCGTCCATGTCTCCCCCTTTGATAAGGACATCAGTCACTTTGGATGGGGCCCACCCAAATAACCTCATTTCAACCAGATTCCCTCTGTAAAGACCCTTGTAGCAGCATTCTCGCTCAGATAGATAGTCGGGGCACCGAAGCTTTTCTTTCCAGGAAGCAACTTCATTCGTGCCGGCACCGCTCCGTTGGGTTCGAACGGAAGACCTGAACGCCACGTGGTGTAGTTTCTTATACATTTTTTTCTTCCTTGTCTCCCATATATGGTAATACACAAACGTGTCGTCTGATTAAGTGGCCTCATGTTACAAGGTCGTGAGGGATGTTGTCACGTGGGCAGTCAGGCTGCCTTGAGGGTTTTTTCTTTTCTTTCCTTGGGAGGGGACCCTAC